AAGGGAGAAGGGAAGGAGAGCTCGGGCGGGGGGGGATAAAGGAGATGGAGTTGTCTGTATGTATGCCTGCGTGTATGGTAAGTAGGTAATAACAACCCAGGACGTTCAAATCAGTAAGATGCAGCCACGCCTGCGCCGTACTTTAAAAATACGTGGATATCCGTATACGCATACACACAAGCGCATGTTCGTACCACCTTCACGTGTGTGTATGTGTGTATATCCGTACCTGCACGTTGTACTCGCGCACCAGTGACGCGTGGTCGAAACCCAATTGCAGTCCAGCAGCCTCCATAAGGCCCGAGAGCGCGACCAGATTAGCCAGGTCGGACCGCATCATGCGGCGAGCTGAGCGGTGCTGCACCTTCACCACCACATGCCGCCCATCGGGGAGCTGACCTCGATGCACCTGGGGGGGGGGGGGAGGGGAAGAGGAGCGTGTGTGTATTTGTGTATGTGTATGAACGTGCATGAACGTGTGTGTTGGGGTTTTTAGGGGCCGGGGCTGGGGAGGATGGAGCGGGAGTTTCTGGAAGAGTTACGGAAACGGGGAGGGAAGCCGCGAGGGCGGAGGAGGGGGCGGGGCAGGGAGGAGGGCGAAAAAAGGCCACGAGGATAAGACCGCATTGGGTGCGGTCCCATCCAACTTGCCTGCAAACCTAGCTCCTAAGCTTGCGCAACCAACCAATCAACCAACCAACCATGTCTTCCCCCCTCGCTTTACGACATAAAACGCGCACATAAAGTATGTTATGTCCGTAGATTCTCACGGCAGGGGCGCTACGTCGGATATCCACAGCCGTACATCTGTACAGTACCTGGGCAATAGTGGCAGAAGCCAGAGGAAAAGGATCCAGCTCGCGAAACAGCGCCTCCAGAGGGGCGTCCAGCTCGGCTTGAATGGTACGGCGTACGACGCGGAATGGCGCCGGTGGCAACCGATCCAGCAGACGGCTGAGTGACTCTGTGTACGGCTGGGGGAGCATGTCGGTCTTGCTGGCCAAGATCTGGCCAAGCTTGAGATAAAATCCCTGAACGATCATAAAATTGTTGAAAACACGTTTTTAGAGAGTGCCAAATTGCGTCGGAAATTTTAAGGAAAATATAGATGAGGATACGCCACGCCTTCTGACCAAGTCGCAAATTGCAGGCGCGACTAATGATGACAGCGACGAGAGCTCATTGCAGCACATGCCAACACACAACCAGATCAAAACAATATGATCAAATAAAGCAGGAAAGTTGGGCAAATTTTACATCCCCAAACCTTAACATTTGAATGTGGATTCGAACTCGCGGACCCGACCTACCTTGAGCTCGGCCAGCATATCAAAAATAGCGCCCGCGCCCCACTCATGCTGTTGCGCCCACATCTCTGCCGCAGCCTCCAACTGACCGCGGTCACGTAATGCAGACGCCCGACGCGCTGTTAGCACGTACCTATTCGGACACGAACCGGGACCGGAGGAGAGGAGAAAGATCCAGGAAAGGAAACGGAAGAATGAATAACGGGGACTTCTCCTGCTCGTTTCATTCAAATTCAAACCTTACCAACAACAGCTGACCGCCCCTACCGGCACGGCAATGAAGAGTTTTCTGTCTTCTGTTCCAACACCCCATCCCCATCCCGTCCCCAGCTCGCATTCCGGCGCCCCCCGTGACTCCCCTGTCCCCGCTGGGGCCGCACCTGGCCACGATGGGCATTGCCCGCTGCCAGTACATTATGTTTCGCCAGACAGCCGGGGCCACCAACGGAGCAACCAGCCGAAGAGCGGCGAAGGTGGTAAAGGGGCCGCGGAGGGGGGCCAGAGGGGAAAACACGACACGCATAGGGCCGCAGTGAAGCGGGTTAGGTGGTCGCTGCAGCCGCAGTAGCCGCGGTGGGCGTTGCTGTCGCTGCTGCTGTTGTTGCGGCTGTAGCGCCGACAGCGGCAGCGGCAGTGGCAGCTTGGGACCGGAGAGCAGCGCGCAGATAGCCTGTACGGATGTAACAAGGTGAATGCAGGGAGGTGAGGGGAATGTCTTACGGAAGTAAGGAGTATGTATGTATGTATGTGCTTTCACGGGGAGAACTGCGTGCATGATGGGATGGGGAGTTGGAGGACAGCATGGTAACGCGCTGGGAGAGTGTAGGGGCCCGCTGTGTACGACGCTGTGTACATAAAGTAACGGACGCATTACATGTTGGAGATATGATTATGGCCAGGTCTGTGTCAAAGCCAACCTATGCAGGTGCCACATGCTTTGATTGATCGGTACGCCGTACGGGCTTCGGCACCGCCGCCACCCCCTCAATCGCCATCTGCGAGCACCGTTGCCGCTGGCCTAACGCACATATAGGTTGGCCGGCTGGCCTATCTATTCGTCCGTCCGTCTGCGCGGTACGGTAGAGAGTACAGCGCCGGCGCATTGCCGTACACCTGTGTACGTACGTACATACCACTAGTCGGCAGCTCCTGGGGAAGAAGGCGCACAGTACCGCAGTAGCAGCATATTTCGCCGCCGCTGCCGCACCAAGCGCCGTCATGAGTACGGCACGCGCCGGTACACGTAGGACGCCAGCGGCGGCGGCGGCGGCGGTGGCGGGGAAGGGGACCCGCGCCCTCGGCCCCGCCGGCGGCGGCGTGACGGCAACGGCGGCGGTGTTTTGCCGCCGAGCTGGCCATGCCGCCTCCTCCGGCGGCGGCTGCGCCGCCGCCGCTGCCGTCGTGACAGTCGCATCTGTAGTGGCCGCGGTGCCGACAGCATCTGGCATGAGCAGCGCCGGCACAGGCCTGGCGATGTCACATTCGTACGGTCCCGGCTGACGAGGCCAAGTACCGGGATGTTGAGGCTTCTCATGTGCCAAGAGACTACGAGCGCGAAGTACGGGCGCCAGTCTATCCTGCATCACCGCATTCGCAGCGACGGCTGCTGACCCAGATGCCGCTGCTGACACCAGACCGACTGCCGGTGGTGCTCGAGGTAGCGCCGGCGCCCGGCGATGGGCTGCCGCCGTAGCGCTCCCGGTGGCACGACGTATGGGCCACAGTACGGCACGCAGCGGTGCCACCAGCATGGCCCGTACAGGGATACGGTGCAGCAGGTGTCTGAGTCGTACCGGCTGCGCCGCCATCGCCGCTGCGGCGCCGTACACTGCATGGCCCGCCGCCGCCGCACCACCTGCTACTCCCTGGGCAGCGGCTCCTGCTGCGTAGCCGGCCTTGCGGGCCCCCCCGGCGGTTGCGTAACCAAACCGTGCGACGGCACTGACGCCCGCTCGCCCTATGCAGCCGACTCGGCGGCCAATACGGCGGACCGAAGGGACCAACGCCACATATAGGTTTCGTAAGCTCCGACCCGAGCTGGATAAAATGCTAGCGTTTTGGCTCAGGTTAACCGGACGCGTTTTGCTGGAACGAGAAATGGGTGGCGGGGCAATTGCAGTGACCCTCGGCGCGAGCGCCTCCTGGCCGCTTAATGGCAAATGCTGCAGGCGCTGGAGGCTGAAGTCCAACTCGATTGGGGTTGTGCCGTTCCGGAGGTCCTCAAGCACAGCTAGCCGTCCATCGCGATTGCCCTGACAGAAGGCGGTCCGTCAAGTCCGCAGGATCGCAAAGCGAGGATCAGTGCAAAAAAGGTAGATAGTGATGAACATAAGCCGTGATCAGCAGTCTATACAAGTACAAGCGGCTAGCTGAGATGCCATCACTGATTGACCCCAGGCACCTATCGCCTTGAAGGACGTTAGGCCGGCAGTTAAGTAGGCAATTGTGTGCCTAGTACAAATACAAGAACATTTTTGCAGAAACCGCACCTTGACGCCATTTGGACCTCACCGTAACTCGTGGCTATCGGAGCAGGCCCAGAGCTTACCGCAAGGCCTGTTTCTGTAGCAAGGCTTGGCGACGCCTCCTCCATCTCGGCAATGACGAGGCGGCCATGGTCCGAAGACGGAATCATGTTGTGTTGGCCGGCGTAAACCTATGCGCTTGAACGTTTACCTAAGAATCTACAGAATCATTTTGTATCTTTGCCGCCCCTTATGCTGCTTCTGGTCTATCCGCCAGGTAACGCGCTCGGCGTTACCCAGACAGAGCTTTCCAACGAAGAACTCGAGTTGGCGTGGCACTATAACAAATCCTCTGTATTCATTTCTGTTAAACATCCGTGCCCATATTTGCTATGCACTTAACCAGTGACCGGCTTCACCACCGTTTCCGTTAGCGTCAACGGTGTGCGAAGTTGCTCCAACACAATACATAACTTCGAGCAATAGGCATATAACTGCATTAACAATGTGTGCAGTTTTGCACATGAGTTACCGGCTTTGAGTGCAGCTTTGAATGTTCGTACGCAAGCCAACGAAATGTCGCATTCATCATTTTGCTTGGGAAGCATAATTGTGTCAGATTATAGACGTACCAGCGTGCATACGGACGAACAGTCCAGTGCACCACGGCATTCGTAGACGTTTGCTTGGGCTTACTCAATACTTTTGCAGTTCAAGTCCCGATTAGGAAGCCCTACATCTGGTCACTCAATGGCGCACGAGAATGCCTGAAGCTGTTTAAGTTGTCAAGGTTCAATAGCACACCTTTACCGTGCTTCGATCGTTGAGTGGGTTGGATTTGGGTCTGCATTTGGGGTCTGCATCGGGCAATGAGGTCCATCCACACTGGACGCAGGGCACGTCAACCCGAAGTAGAGCGTCGTACCTATGTTAGCTATCCATCAAAGAGGATCCGCATTGATGAGAGGCCTGAGGAGGGATTTCTGGCTCCCATTGTGATGACTAAAGGTGCATCCCAAAAGCCCCATCAATGCCTTCGGTCCTCAGGTTAATATGTCTGTGAGCAGTGTTTAGATTTTTTTGTCCTGTTACTGATGCAAGGATGCAACAACGCGGCTACTGATGGCACGGCAAGGCACGCTCAGCATGATACGGCAGCTTTCGCAGTTTGGTGGACAATTTAAGCGCGACTGTAAGATGTAAGGAGTATTACTGCATGTATGCACACTTTGTTCTGTAACGCAGTTCCAAGGTCAGGAAGAAACGCTTCATGGGCAATTGCAAAGCCTTTCTGCTGGGTACGACGATAGAGTTTCAATTATTCTATGCACATCCTTCAAGCTATTCCACCGGACCAGAAGTTTGAAACCGAGCTCTAAAGCTCATGGCGGGATGTTGCACGGAGTTATTGCATGTAACTAGGGCAATTGATTTAAAAGTTTCACAGGAAAAGAAAAAGACATCCATGCACACATTATGTAACATGGGAGCACGCACGTATGCAAGAATACGCTTTGTGCAATCACCGTACACAGCAGAAACAATCTTCAAGCAAGATACAGACCCATGCTCGCCTGCTTACGCTGCTTACTTGTACCTTGATGCCTACGTCAAATGCTTTCTACAAACGAGGCAAACAGTTTCCGGACGAATATCCCTTACATAATTCCAGCTTGAAGCTAGAAGATTAATGTTAGGCAGCCTGACATACAGATTTGCATACAACGTCAACCTAGCAACGGCATATTTGCTCGTCTTTTGCCTCGAGCTTTGACCACCAGATGACATTTTGGACTAATTTCTAATTACCTCACGACCTGCAGTACGCTGATCAGAGAGTCTCCTTAGCGGCCGCAGCCTATGGACGCCCTATGAATTATCAAGGGCCGCCACGGATACGTCATGGCGGCACCGCAAGCCCGCAAAGCGCAGAAGGGCAGCGTCAGACGAGCTGAAGCTGTTCTGCATGGGCTATAAGCAGGAATCAACCCGAAGCTTTACTCTTTTTAATAACGCCGCTGAACCCGCTGAAGACTGAGCACAGAAGTTATGGAATACGTGCGCGCTTTAAGAGACGAAGCATCGCCGACTACATTTTCAAAGCGCTACGCTGGGGTAAGGCTCGAGAAAGGTGTGGCATATAATGCCAGGAAGGGAAACGCGGGTACACGGACGCGCTGTGTGCTCCCCAGCCCCCTCATTCTACATGTCATGGTTGTGCTGGCGGTATGTATGTACGTATATATGTATTTGAGCAAC